GCAAGTCCTTCTGTTTTAAGCTACGCTGAAGTGGCAAGGGTGTCTCCGCCCAGAGCCGCCACTCACTCTAATCAAGCGCCATCGCCTAAAAGTAATGAAAAGAAAAATAAATCATCCTCTCCTCCTGGCTGTTCGCCTGTGAATGTTGGTCACCAGACTGGGCAAATCTCACAAGCTGCAGGTACAAGGGCGATAACCCCATCTATATTTTCCCAACTCGAAACTCTCCTACCGTGATCCCCCCTCCTGTTCCAAATAATTACATTTGCTTGACGGCAGTTCCTCCCACAAAAGCAGTATTTGTGTCAAGACTGGCACCTGAAACATCGGTGGATAACATAAAAAGTTTTAAAATATTAGTTCCGACTGAAAACAGTGATATGTTGTTAAACAAATCACTGTCGCCAGTAGGATCCTTAATTAAGGAATTTATCCCTCGAGATCGTCCCCGTAATACCAAGGCAATAGTCTTGTCGCCTTCAAAAAACTAATTGTTTCTTCAGGCCCACTATCTCTCATTTATCAAAATGTTAGGGGCCTAAATTCGAAAATTCGCTCCACTTTTCTAAATTCAGTGAGCACGGAATTTTTCTGTTTGGCCTTTACTGAAACTTGGCTAAAATCCGATCTTCATTCGTCGGAACTTTTTCATAATTCTTTCCAAGTCTTTAGAAATGATCGAGTGAATCGCATTGGTGGTGGTGTATTAATTGCCATATCTGCGTCAGTCCCGTCCAATTTAATTGAATTTCCCACTTCTCCTGACGTTGAATTTATCGCTATTCGTGCAAATATGCCTGATAAACATCTATTTATAACCTGCTCCTATATTCCCCCAAATTCTGATATCTCCATTTACAAGAAACACGCTGCCCTCATTTGTGAAGTGGCCAAGCGGTCTAGACCCACCGATTTGGTCGTTGCATTGGGTGACTTCAATTTGCCGCAAGTCACTTGTAGTAACACTGATAATTCTGGCTGCTTGGTTCCTACTTCAACGTCTGATAGGGCTGTTGTGTTCTTTAATGAATTGTTTGATCATAATTTGGGTCAATATAATCGTACCCCTAATTGTAATGGTAGACTGCTTGATCTCTGCTTTGCCAATTTTCCCGAGATTAACGTAAATCGTTGTCCACCTTTTAGTTTACCTGAGGATCCTTAAACTCATCAAACTTTTTAAAATAATTATTATGATTTTCATAAAATCAATATTGTATTACTAAAACATCGTCTTTCACATCTGACGCTTGATTTCTCAACCGGTAGTATTGAAAGCTTATTGCCATCGTTCTACAACACATTAAATCTAGCTATTGCTGCATCTGTTCCGATCAAGCATTGTCGACCTCGAAGCAGGTGTCCCCCGTGGTTTAATAAGACAATTAAATATCACAAGAATAGAAAAAACTCGTTATTCAAAAAATATTCGAAAAGTGGCTCTGCGCTCGACTATGTCGCTTACTCGGTGGCGAGGCATAGATTTAACTCCTTCAACTATCATTATTCTTCTTTAAATTTGTTAACTCTAAAAGGAAAATTTCCACATATCCCTCTCATGTTTCTTTTAATGGTTCTGATTCCTCGGATGATTTTGAAATCTCAAATCTATTTGCTGAGTATTTCCGACGAAACTTTTCGATTGCTAATTTCGATTTATCAGCAAACTACCCATATCCTATAACTAACTCGGTTCCAATACCTAACTTGGTTATTTCGGAAGATGATGTTTTTAAAGGGTTGAGTTCTCTGAAATACAGTTGTTCGCCTGGACCTGATGGAATTCCATCATGTGTACTTAAATCTGGCGCTGTCGAGTTATGTTGTGTGATCTCAAAGATTTTTAATATGTCCTTGTATTTAGGTGTTTTCCCTTCATGTTGGAAGAGTAGATTCCTTATTCCTCTCCACAAGAGTGGAATTAGACAATTTGTTGAGAACTACAGAGGCATAGCCAAGTTGAGTGTCTTGCCCAAGTTGTTCGAGCGTATTGTGACTCAGCATTTGGCCTTTGCCATTAATTCGTATATTTCTCCGCACCAGCACGGCTTTCGGAAAGGGCGATCTACAGTCACCAACTTGTTGTTTACCTGTCATGTTTTCAAGGCTTTTTCTAGTGGCTCTCGCACAGATGTTATTTACACTGATTTAAGCAAAGCATTTGATATGTTTAACCATAGACTACTTATCTTTAAACTCCAAGCCTCTGGTTTCCCACCCTACTTAGTGAAATTGATAAGCTCTTATCTGCACAATAGATCCTTCAGGGTTTTGTTTACCTTCATCACCTCAGATGAATTTCCCGTTACGTCTGGCGTACCTCAAGGAAGTCACTTAGGTCCCATTTTATTTAGTTTATACATTAACGATCTCCCATCGGTGGTTAATTCCAGCCAGATCTTAATGTATGGTGATGATGTGAAACTGTTTTCTTCCTTCTCTGTTGAATCGCAATCACATCAGCTTCAAGGTGATTTGGATAATTTGGTTGCATGGTGCTCTTTGAATCTGCTGAAGCTAAATCTGAGTAAATGTAAGAAGCTTTCATTCTCAAGAAGAAAGTCATTCATTACTCAGTTTTTCATAGATTCGCATAAGTTGGAGGATGTCGATTCGATCACAGATTTAGGCGTTCTATTTGACCATAGGTTACGTTTTAACTTGCATACTGAGCTCTCGATTAGCAAAGCTAGGTCCGCGCTTGGTTTTATAAAAAGGTGGTCCAAAGAGCTTGATGATCCCTACATTACGAAAAGGCTGTACATGTGTTTGGTTAGACCCATACTCGAGTATGCCTCAGTTGTGTGGTCTCCTTCATATAGGTGCTACGTAGATTCAATCGAATCTGTTCAAAAGCAATTCTTGCTGTTTGCCCTTAGAAATTTGGGTTGGGATCCGATTGCCTCTCTTCCTTCGTATGAAAATAGGTTGCTTCTACTGTCCCTACCGTCTCTTGAGAAACGTATATTTGTTCTTGGCGTTTCCTTTCTAATCAAAGTAATAAATGGTGCCATTGACTCGCCTTCATTACTTGGTGAAATAAGCTTTAATGTTACTCACCACAAACTTAATATACCCTGTACTAAAGGTGGTATACTTCTAATTGAGATTTGGATCAATTTTTTTTCAATACATTCTTTGTACCTTGACCTATGCCCTATATAACATCCAAAAACACTCGGTATTCTTGAGCATTTAAGACAAGTCCCTCTCAAGCTACTTTAGTTTCCAAAAAAATCATTTGACGCTGAGAGATTTCAAAGAAGAGGAAAATATGTGTTTTGAACGATGTTTTCCGTATAACATTGTTGATAAATTACTGTCTCTGAAGCATTTCAAAAAGCTTTTACCGAAGTGATGGAAAAAATATCTCTTAACCCTTTTAGTGCCAAAGAGCACCGTCGCGCTGCTCTCGACAGTTGTGAAAAATGCCACCGACTCGATAGCGCTGAATTTGACATTTCAGTTTTGTGCACGCGCAGCTGACGGCCGTATTACCGTGTTCGTATTTTTATTCATTATATTGCATCCTAATTATCTTCGATAGCAGATTTTTTATATAAACATCGTGATTATTATTTTTTTTAATATTTATTTTTTTATAATTTAGACAACTGGAAGTCCTATTTTCACCAGCTTCTGAAAAATCTACGAGCGACGGGCTCAAACGTGGTCGTAGCTACATGATAATATGGTATTGACGAATTTTGTGGGAACTTAGAAAAATGTTTCTAATGCCAATATATCATAAATTATATACATTCTTGAATTGTAAAAAATAATTATATTTTTCCATTCGTCTGTTGAAAATGGTGATGAGGTTTGCTTCTTGAAAATATGCGTGTTACACGTCGCAATTACAATCACCAAACAAAGTTTACGAATAAATCAATTTTTGGGTCATAAGATAATTTTTATCTAAAGCATATTCAGAGGCGAATCAATAGTTTGATTAAATTTATATGCTTGTTACTGTAATAAACACTTAAATAAATCAAAATTAGTAGCTTAATATAATAAGATATTTTTAAGGGACTAACACAAAAATGGAGTCTTATTTTAAAATTTAAAGTACTAACTTTGGGGTTTTAAACATAATAGTATAAATTTTGAATTTTTTTTTTTTAATCGAAAATTTCAGTTTATTAAGAAAAAAGTTCTACTATATAATCTCATTTCAATTTGTAAATAAAATTTCAAAATTCGACGAAGCGGAGTGTTGCGGAAGGTTCGAATAAATTATGCCATTCATGTTTTTGAGGATATTAAATCTATCCTTTTTTACTTTCTTAAAACCAATTATATTTTAATTTTTACGCAGTTTGACTCCATACCACATGTAACGCATTAAAGAAGGCAATAAAAGTAATTTATAAAGAAGTCTTGTCAAAAAAAAGGCTTAGTAGGGTTCAATATAAAAAAAGACAAGTAAAAATGCCATCAAGGGTCACAGCGGGTTATTAAATATCGCACGCAGTTATTCATATATCAACTTTTTAAAAGAAGAGTTTATATGGGGAGGGAGTGGAAAAGTGGTACAATCTGAAACATTTTGAGAAGCGTTCGTTCATGGGCTGAAAAACGTCGGTATACTAAACTTTATTAAAATATTTCAAAAATTTCGATCTGATATGGGTGGATGGACAAACAAGCTTAAATCGATTAGGAAAATAAGTCCGAATCAATCGTCATAAAAAAATCTAAAATAATGAATGTATCTCAAGTCTGTTTGGGTCGGCATAAACTTAATGTATACCACAAAAGTGCCGTAAGGCTCCAAAACAAATAAATAGCACACTGAATAAAATGTCAAACACTATATTAAGAAAAGGGAAAAAAAATTTTAAAATATTTATACTTTAGAAATTTTAATTTTAAAGAAAATGCTTTTCTTACCTGACAGAAGGAAACAAAATCACTACTCTTAATTATCTCATACTTATTTCGCGTCATAAAGAAATTTTGCTAAGATATGTACAAAAAAAAAATTATGTTTACAGAGCTGGCGCGTTCCTCTGAAAGTTGTACAGGCTGCCATATTTTAAGACCTTCTAAATGTCTCTCTGCAAACATTTATAAGTTTTTCACATCAAGAAAGTTATATTCAATATATAAAATTTCAAGTGTAAATCGTAATCAAAATCGAGGAAAACATCTCAACATATATAAATCTTACTTTCGCATATATTTTGTAAGAAAGCAATTATTTGGATATGTAACGAAATATTATATCAAATGCAGTATAACTTCAGGCGCCTACTTGTTTAGAGAATTTTTGAAAAAATAAAAAAAAACTCTCATTATTTATACAAACGTTTAAGAATGTACTTGACCTAAGTCTTTGTTTAAATGAAAATTAAAATGAAAATAAAAATCAACTAAAATATCTATATGAAAATAAGCAAGAAAATCGTGATATATTACAATAAAATGTTTAAAAACTTTTTTAAAATAATATTGAATGCTTCCATTATTGTGGTCATTATAATTACAATACAAACAAAAAGTGAAAATGCAGATTGTGCCAAAACTACCAAGAACAACAATAGCAGCAACAGGAACAGCGGTAGCAACAACACCTGTATTAATGAAAATTATAAAGAACTGATGAAAGCAGCATTTTTTATAAACACAACTGACACCCGCTCTCAGCATGCACAGAAAAGACAAAATGAATCACTGCCTCACAAAGCCGGCTTATGCGCAAAGAAAAGAGGTACTGTACTATTTACGCAATTAGCTTCCTTTTACAAAGTATAATTTTTTATAATTTGTCGTTCAGCAAATCAACAACCGTAGCTTCATTGTGATGTGCAGACAAAAAGCCCAACGTGAACACGATGTTCTTTGTTTTGCGCCTCAATAAAATATGTATATCTTTTTTGTTTATTTTGTTATTTCTTAATTCTTTAAATTAATCTCGTGTCAATTTTTGCGTGTTACTCGTCCGCTATGTCTAAAGTTTATTATTTTTACAGTATATTTAAAGATTTAAAATATGTAAGCACAAAATAAATTCTTAAGTGAACTCTAATAAGACCTTTGTAGTATCGTTAATTGTACTTTTCAATTGTCTTTTTTAGGTCGGGAGCTAATCTATTAATTTTTCCGTTTAGCCAATATGTTTCCGTACACGAATTTTTTGGGAACGTGTCTATCGTGTAAAAAGAGGATTAGGTATATTTTGTTATTTGCGGGTGCATCTGATCGTTAGTAATTTTCCTTTTTTTCACTTGAATTCGCGAAACATTCCGTTTTTTATTTTTATTAAATGAATGTTGCTTGATTATTGCGTACTTTTGCGCACTTTTTCAAAACATTTGAAAAGAAAATCATAGATAAATAAATTCTCCAACCAAACCGTGCAGTAATTCTTCTTGGAACTATATAAAATATCTTAAGCAATCTGTAGGTGTACATTTGCACTATTAAACTCTCTTTGTCAAATTTCGTTAAAATACCAATTGAAATAAAAAGGTGAGAAGCGCTCCATTCACTTTTGTTTGAATTCTACAGCTTGAGAATGGATGCGGTTGAAAAATCCATGAGAAATAAGCGTTAAACGGTTAAAAAGCTTAGAAAGATTAGCAAAAAGAAGTAACAACATTATAGTCAGGGCAACGCCGACCATTACATACCCTACACCACTTCGCCTGGTACAGTTATTTTCTTCGTTTTGATAATAATACGCTAAAAATATATATTATTTTCGTGCAAAGCCACAATTTTTATAAAAGCTCGCATACAGGAAGATTAGATTTTCTCTATATATAAGAGCTTGCTTTTCGTGCTACTGCTTCGATGATCACAAGGTTAGAAGAGATTTGGGACATGTTCTCTCCAATCTTCGTTAAGTTAAAATTAATTATATGTTTAGTTGCGCCGCTCGCGTCATATTTATGCATGTTTATATATAGTAAATTAGGTTGTTTTTCTAAAGGAAAGAAAGAAGAGAAAGCTAGTTGTCGTAAATAATAATAAGATACACCAAGCACGTCTTCAACAAGCGTTGATATGATAGGATATAGCAGTTTTCGTTTACAGATGTTGGGGTCCCGATCTTCCGAAATATCTTTTTTATACCCACCACTATAAGATAGGGTATACTCATTTTGTTTTATTTTCACAGTATATGTCACAACCAAAAGGAAGCTTCAGAGATCCTATGAAGTGTATATATTCTTGATCAGCGTAAAATTCTGAATTGATTTAGTCCTGTCTGTCCGTTTATGCATCACTGCAAAAATGAAGACATCGACTTCAAAGTTGGTAGAAACATTGGAAGTTTTTGCGCGCAGGTTAATATATGTTCTCAATAATTTGTATAAAAATGCCAACATCTGAGAATATGTTTGAATACGTTTGTTTACAATTCTCGATAATTTTGCATGTATTTGTATAAAATTTCTTGCCTTTATGGAGTAAGCGTATAAAATTTGCCACGAAACTTTAATTCACCAAAAGCTCTACCTAGTCAACAATCACCAACGTCAACAGCAATAACAAGCAAAGTGACATTTAATGTAGCAACTAAGGTGAATTCCTCGCAACAAGTACGTCATGGTACGTGTTTTTATACGTGTACATAGTATAATTTATTGTGTGCGCTTTTAGTTTTTGTTTTTCTTACTCCTTTTAACAAGTGGTCGATTATCTGTTACTTGAGTTATAATATATTATAACAACCCTCTTAGGGGTTGCATTAATTTTATCCTTTTTTTCGTTTCATTTGTCCAAAATGTAGATAATAGAGTAGATAATCTAAAAGATATTAAATCTTTAGGCAAAAACAAAATCGTATATTCACAAAATGCCTTCAATTCGTGGTTATACGTACAGACATTTGGGCTAACTAGTGCTAAATATTGTATATTTTTTATGTTCTGGACAAGCGTTCGCTATTCAGAAATCTTAATCCTTGGTCTGTGTAACTTTGCTAATAAAAACTTAAGAGTAAAATAATTTGAGTTTGAAACCTAATGCGTAGAAGTGAATTAACCGAGGGACACCCATCTCAAATAATAACGAGAATTATTTAAAATGCCATTTATTTTATCCAACTGTAAATCGTCATTAGTTCCATTTTCTGTTACAAGGAGATTTATGTCATTTGGACTTAATTCTTCTTCTTCTTTTCACCGCCTTAGTAGCTGCATCTTTAACAAATCGCTTTCTACAATTATATATAACTATTTATTCCTTTTCGTAATTAGCAAGTAAAAACATTGTAACGGGGAACGGCTGACTATCAAACACTCTAGGCTACTGCGCTTGTTACGGTTTTTCATATGAATTTCCACAATTAGGCGCTGTATAGGAAGTGATCGAAGAAATGGGTTGGCTGTACTAATTTCCATTAAAATATACCAAAACTTGCGGCCTGTACGTTGAACATAAACAAACATGGGACGCACAAACCGACAATGATCCGACCGCAGTGATCCTGAATCGATCGATATAAAAATCCGTGGGTCTATATTAAGTCCTTGTGGCTAATGCATACATCCGCACAAACTTAATATACCCTCGTACCACAATGCCACAATGACGACGAATATTTCACAAACAAATTCTATTTGAATGCATGTGTTGCAAAAGATTCCTTTCTTTCTGTTACTCTCTTCTTGGTGTTCATTGACGACCTCCTGTGCGTAACAGGAAATCCTATCTACTCGTTTGCAAATAACAGCAACTTGTATCACTGATTTTCCCTTAGTAAGAGACCATGCAGCAACGAGATACAGCACAGACGCTGCATGGTGAATGACCTATTAAATCTGGACCTCATAAAAATATCTGAATGGAGTCGGGCTAATAGAATAAGGTTTAATGCCACCAAAAACTCAAAGCTACCTCTTAACACAAAGGAAAAGTGATAAACAATCTCTCTTTTTGTGGTGTCAATGTGAAAGAATGGGCAACCTTTGGTGTTCTAGGCATTAGAATACAAAACGGTGTTCGTTGGACAAAACATGCCGAGGAAGTTTCGGAAGAAGCACACTTAAGTTTTTTAAAAAATACTTCACTGCAGCCAATAGCCGTTTATGCTGCCTGTATCCGCCTAAAACTACTCAAACTAGTGACAAAGGCTCTAGTGCTCATGGGTGGCGAAAATGTGTCTAAAACTCTCGAGATTCTTGAGCATAGGCGTAATGAGGGCTGTGTTGTCCTCATGTACAGGTACATCCATGGCAAGTGTTCTACCGGGACAAAAGAGATTTGTCCATCAACTAAGTTTTTTAACAGGACTGCACGGCTTTCTTCTATATACTCATCCTTCATACCGCGTGACACATCACGACAATTATTGTCCGTCTTTAAAACAATCTACCAGTGATCCTTGCCACCGTACCTGATGCCTCCATTTTCAAGTCGAATGTTCACAAACTTATCTCTCCCCACCCCTCCCCTCGCATAACTATTCCAAACGTCCACCCTGCCCACACGTATAGGAGACATCTCCTCATTGGCTGATTATAGAAAAAACAAAAAAGTGGTCTAGAGCTAAAGATAAGTCATTAATTTTTTATTGGTTTCATTGTTGTATATTTTAACTATGCTTAGATTATTTCGAACGAGGAAAACGTAGCGTTTTTCATGTACGCTGGAATCCTAATGAGAAATATATCGTTGAAAGTCTTGAAAATCCAGCGGTAAATTCTTCCAAATACTCACCACATCCCCGCTTAAAGGTATCAAAAACAACTAAAATCTCATTGAATCCGAAAATTTATTTGTGCCGCGATAAATATGAACTCCGCTGCTTAAATAAAACGTTAGCTTTTCGTGAACGTATCATTAAGACCCTTGAGAAAGCGGTTATTGAAGTGGTAAATGAAACCAATCATTATAATGTGGATTTTAAACCAGTATTTGGTAGCAGTTTCGAAGAACAATATTATCCCTCGTCCTGTTTAATGATGGAAGCTGATGTACGAGTTTTGCGGCGTAAAGATCATCCGTTTAATAAGCTGCAGTTCGGCAAACTTTTTCCCAAACAAAAACTTTTTCGTCATAGTAAAAAGATAAAAGCCTGTGCTATAGTATCAAGCGCTGGATCTATGGCGGGCTCCAAATTGGGACGATTTATAGGTAAGTAAAAAAATAGTATATAAATCGACTATAGCCAAAGAAAAAACTATCAACAGAGAAGTATACGATACTATTTCGAGCTTAATTCAAAAAATTCTTTTAGTTTACATTTAGATCTAAAACTTTCGAGAGTAACTTATATCCAAATATGTCGTTCAAAATTTTCATCATTCATTTTCATATTTTATATCTGATGAAGTAAATTTCAAACCATAGCTCAAATAATAACTGTTTATTCTTTCTCCGGGTATTTTAAACTACCAATAGGTTCAGATTCAACGATCATCGCCAACGATAATGCCTTAGTTGTACAACTATCACTAACTATCAACCCGAACCTCTTTAGAAGCTTCCAAGCTTTCGAATCTTGGTTGACGATAAAAGAGTATAACGTGGAAGGTATTATGAAATACGAATAAGCAATTTCTGTCAGAGTAGAGATTAAGTTTCTACTTGAAGGTGCATGAATCCGCTGTGAGAACTGAGTATGTTTTAATTGCACAATCTCTTAGGAGCTAGCTCTTATTGAGTAAGTAAATGTTGAGATTATGTCCGATAGTCTATAGTCGTCTAATGCGGTGGCTGTTGGTAGATCTAGTCAACCAACCTAGGCATCATCTTCGCAAGTTACCTACAGTTGCCTTAAGTTTTTGGTCAATGAAAAAAGGAAAATTGAAAGAAGGAAGGAAGACTGAAAGAATACATTTTTCGATCTCATAATCAAAACGTGGCAATTCCCATAATATATACCAAGCCTACGTACCTGTCTTAGATCCCTTCGAGAAAAGCTATCACAAGTCTTATCTGTCCCTTAAGATATGAAAATTCATGCCTTCGACAAATTTATGACCGGCAAAACGAGTTCCAATATTTATGTAAATTGAGCTGCGGATCAGCTCATTATATGGTAAGTGTTAGAAGTAATGAATATGTAATAAGAACTTTTTAAGTAACATTCGGGTGAGACATGGACCTTCGTAATTGTGTCTAGAATGAATATTTCAATGTAATTTTTATATTCAATCGCTACGCTAAATGTGTCTTCCCATGTGTGTCAGAAAGCCTACAGAGCATCGATATCATCGAATCGATTCCGGTTTCAGAGTTCTCGAATGCAGCCTCGTTCATGTCTTTCACTCAGTCCACCATTTTCGGATTGCTCGCAGACGAAAAAGTTGAGTTAGAAAGCTGGTTGAAGCTTATAGTTTCCAAAACCAGTTTACTTTAACTTGCTCATAATAAGAAAAAAACTATATATAATCTGCAAAGATCTTCTGAAACTGTAGCAAAAAAAGAATTCACAATCCACTATGCAAACAGTTCCCAAACCGACTGAATAGCTGATCGATTTCTCACACAATATTTCATAATTCTATCAAAGATTGAACCTATGGCATCTATAATTTTCTAAGTATTTATTTCTGTTTTCAATCTATTTTCATGTAATCACTAGATACTCATGATGTCGTAATGAGATTTAATCATGCACCAACGCGAGGATACGAAACTGACGTGGGGAGCAAAACAACTATACGTGTCGTGAATTCACAAGTAAGCTTTAGTTAATATTCTCTATACGCATTTCTCTTCATAATTATTGTTATTCGTTTTGGTAAAGCAACAAGTTAAACACAACTTATTTATTCATCATAGTAATAAAAAGAAATACTTCCTCCATATGTGTCTAAGTATGTTTGACAATATAAAATATATTGAGCTCTCGATTAGCAAAGCTAGGTCCGCGCTTGGTTTTATAAAAAGGTGGTCCAAAGAGCTTGATGACCCCTACATTACGAAAAGGCTGTACGTGTGTTTGGTTAGACCCATACTCGAGTATGCCTCAGTTGTGTGGTCTCCTTCATATAGGTGCTACGTAGATTCAATTGAATCTATTCAAAAACAATTCTTGTTGTTTGCCCTTAGAAATTTGGGTTGGGATCAGATTGTCTCTCTTCCTCCGTATGAAAATAGGTTGCTTCTGCTGTCCCTACCGTCTCTTGAGAAACGTAGATTTGTTCTTGGCGTTTCCTTTCTAATCAAAGTAATAAATGGTGCCATTGACTCGCCTTCATTACTTGGTGAAATAAGCTTTAATGTCCCTAACCGCTTCTCCAGACATGTACATGTATTTGGTTAGACCCATACTCGAGTATGCCTCAGTTGTGTGGTCTCCTTCATATAGGTGCTACG